CACAAAGATACTAATAAATTTTTTTTTTTTTTTTTTTTTGATTCTTACTAATGCGACCAATTGTCTATTATTTTAGAATTCCAAGTCGACCCCACATACCAAGTACACCGAGTACTAGTTCTTACCATGACATGAGCTAGATCTTCTGTGATCGTCGTCCTCGACATCACTACCTAACTCATCATTTTCTTCAAGTTTATCGTCTAGCTTTCTTAACTTTTTGACTCTGTTTCTTGTAATAGGAACCTCTAGATCCGTACCATCCAATTTCGCAAGGTAAAATTGACCATGGTTTCCTATTTTGCGAACCTTGTAAGGACCTATCCAACGATAATCAAGTTTTCAGGACAGGGCAGTGTCCAAGGTCGAATCGTACACTAAAACCAGATCATTTACGTTAACTTTCTCTTTGAGGCCAACCTTGCATCAGTCATGGAAGCGTTTTCAACGTTCTTTCATCTCATCCCGGTTTATTTGTACGTTTTTCCCTCAATCGAATACATATCTCATCAATATATTGCAACTATCACCTATTCATTTCATCAACAATCGACCAAGGACATTATCTTTATCCACATTGCTAGCTCTAGTTCTGCAATAATCCTTTACATAGATTTTATACTTGCAATGATATTTGCACTCTTTAGGTCTATTACTGCCAACCTTAGCGATACTCATATTATGGTTATTACCCGAATCAATTAAAATACTTTCATCGTCACAATAGATTATAGCTATATCTTTTGGAGCTATACTTCCAACCAGCTCTACATCTTTCTCACCTAAATTAACAGATTCACCTTTATTAGACACCATGTCTGCACCCCTAATTCCTATTTTATCTCTTAGGTTTCCATCTCCTTTCTTAATTACATCATCGTACATTTTCCTTTCTTCATTATTCACATTTGAACTATTACTACCCTTTTGGTAACTATACTCAATATCGGTTTGTCCACAAGACTCAACATCATCAGCAACTTTCGTATCCTACTCAAATACCGCAGCTTCATCAAATCTGGCCATGCACTTTTTACCATCAGATTCCACAAGTATACTTTTAGCATTACTTTCACCACAATGTATATCAGATATTGGAGCTTCACTTTTAATTAATTTTCTGCGGTCAAATACTAATCTATTTTCATCTTCTACTTTAGGTTCTATAACTGATTCTCCACTTTTGATATACTCCGAATTCTGCTCAAGCATCTGCTTTTCGACCTTGTCTATATTACTGGTGTTTTGGTAGCAGGTGAGTATCTTATTTTCGTCCCTTTTAATTTCCTTCTTTTCCTTACCACAATGTCCGATACTATACAATCCACTCACATCCTCTTTCTTCTTGTTTTTACTACTCTCCTTTTCATCACTTGCTTTAACTGCCCTTTCCTTTATATTTTCTACCTCTTTCACAAAATCATTACAATCCACATTATCCCAGAACCATTTGAGTAAACTTGTCTCACAACTTGCATCAGGCTTTAGATCTTTGTTGGGTACTTTATTTTCATCCTTACTAATGTCTTCTTTCTCTGCACTATCACTTGCATACCACTATTCTAAGTTCATTTCGTAGACCGTTAATACAATTATTTGGCAATATTAATGGTAATCTGCCCAGGTTCTCATGTCGTGGATTAATCAATGACTTGCGCCACTAAATAACCTAGCTCTGACGGCAAGCGCTCTTCTATCAACGACCACCTTGATACCTTGTGTACATGGCTTGGGTAAGTATATTATTATTATTTTTCGAACATTCTCTTTTTATCGCAAGTAAAAGTACTTATTAATTCTTTATTTTTCGCTTTTTGCTTAAATACAACTTTTAACTACTACTAAATTACATTCTGCATTGATCACGCTATTTTGACTTCTTAATTATTTATTACTAATCATGCCATTTTGACTTTTCAATTAATCACGCTATTTTCCCATTACAACATTATTCATGCATCGCTTATTACCTATACTGCATTGTTCCCATGAATACTCGATTACTGATTCCGATTCTGGTCAATCATCATGTGAGTACGTGATGATGGTTGATTCGATCCTTCTCCACCACAAAAATACTAATAAAATTTTTTTTTTTTTTTTGATTCTTATTAATGTGACTAATTGTCTATTATTTTAGAGTTCCAAGTCAACCCCACGTACCAAGTACACCGAGTACTGGTTCTCACCATGATACCAGTAACCGGCAATGGTTCCTCCAATAGGATTTTTGGCTCGGTTTACATTTTTAATTATTCCGGACTGGATCTGGAAGTGATCCTCATTTATCCAAATTCACTCCGAGCAATTTAGATAGTTGCAGATCGGTCAAAAAATGAATTTAGATAAATAGCGATCTCGGTAACTACCCACAGTTTTTTACAAAATGTGATTTGCTGAAAAAAACTGCGGAGAATATAAATAGATCGATTTTCATACTCTGAAATACCATTAGATAAATGAAGATCCTAATTTTTATTGGCTCTACCAGACAAACCGCATCAGAAAAGGAAAATGATAAGCAAAATTATAACCAAAATCAATACATTTTGAACGCAAAGGGTTAAAAAAGACAATGTAAAAGAAAATCACTCGGTGGAATACATGGTATTTCGAAATATCCAATTTGGATATTTGCAGATCATTTTAAACGTGATTTCATTGGCTATGATAGGATGTGAAGTGCCTATTATTCACCAGTCATATTCGTCATCTTTTAATGAAATTATTGACGATCTTTTGATGAATACTCGAATTACTAAAAAAAAATCGACCTTTATTTTATTCGAAAAAAAATCCGGCTACACAAGAAAAAAAATTGAAATGTTATAGTGACCTTTGAATATTGCGTATTATCATTTCTTTTTACAAGATACGAATGAATCGTTCAAACCGGTTTGAGATGAGTTTTATTATATTTTTGAAAAATTAAATGATCTTAACGTTACAATTATCAGCAAAGAAATAACAAAAAAGATAAACAGAATGATTAGCCAAATACAAGTAATATTTAATGTTTTAATTAAACAAGCGTGATAGAGAAGATCTGATAAATAATTAAAGGATGTTGGGCATGTAAATGGAATGGTAAAAAATTTATTCATAGTGAATACTGTATAAATTATTGATACTATAATCCAACCCAGAGTTAAGACGCAGGTAGAAATTCCGAATCCTTCAAGTGATTTTTTAAAAATAGACAAGACGTAAACATAAGTTCCATGGGTAAAAGTCAATAGCAATAAAAGGAGGTAGGAAATTTCTACGGGGGTATTGATAACAAATGTTTCCAACGATTGGTTAAATAATATAATTTTGGTAATTTCGAGTCTTAGAAAAATCAATTCCAATAAAAATGTTAATAAAATAAATATTGTAAAAAAGATTTTCTATTCGCAGAACAGTTTTGTAAACATGTTTGTTAAATTCTTTTTTTTCAAAGGTCTGTTTGATTTGATTTATATGTATTACTAATCCTTTAACTAGTTTTACTATATGTTTGTGAATATATTTAGTAGTAACGAATTAAATGATAGAATTTCTATATAATTATTAATCTGTAACAGTTCGGTGTACAATTTAAACTTATTAAATAGCTCTTGAAAATTATTTATGTTGATACGTAATTTATATATATTGATATAACAAATATGTTCGATTAAAAGACAGATGATTCTATCCAAGAGATTTTTTACTTTTATAATTCTGTAATATAATGGTGGGGTACAAGGCGTAAACTTTAGGAGTTGCTTTATGTTTTTTATTGTGTAACAGATAATGATTTTAAAGTATAAAGTAAAAATCGTATTTTTTTATAAGGTTCTCGCACGTTCTCCTCAAACAAAATATTTTGAAGCAGGTGGGTTTCAGCAAAAATTATTGCAAGTTCTAACGAACTAGTGTTTCTGGTAAAATTTATTATATCTTTTATTCTTAAATATTTAGTGGTACAAGGATATAATCCATAGTTTATTATGAACTGCCAGACGGGTAATATTAAAATTTTCAATCGATAATATATTTTGAGTGAACAAAACTAATTGTTTTTTTTATTAGAGTAGTTAGATTCATTACTTCAAGACGGCAGTTCATGATGAACTATAGCATCGGTACGAAACAATTAATGATTTTTGTATTGTTAATCTTTAAAATAATGATTTATATAAATATAATCAATTTTATTCATGGTAACTCAATGACTTTACAAATAACTTTAGAGGAGATACCGTCATATATTAAATGTTTTTTTAAGAATATTGATACTATTAATGGATGACATATTGATGAGTTTACACTCTGAGAATTTCTTTTATTGATACGCCCCAACATTAAAATATGTGATACAAGGAGTAATAGACCTCCGCGTTGGCCAAATAAATTTATTTGTTATCGCATATACGTGACTCGATTTGTAAAGGAGATGTATCCTGATATATCAAATATTAAATTATCGAAATTAATTGGTGAGATGTGACACGACCTATCATGTAAAGAAAAGGTTTATTGGTCCAAGGTATCTGAGGAAAAAAAACGTGAACATTATAAAAAATATCTATTCTATCAATTTCGTTCAAGACGTCGAAAAGATCAGAAAACAGAAGAGAATTCAAATCGACGCAAAAATATTATATATAATGAAAACACTAATAAACAAGCACGAGTGAATAAAGAGATTGAGGTGGAGAGTACTACAGGAATGATACCTGAGCCGATACAAGAAAATTTATATTCAATAGTATTAACAGAAAATGACATATGTTCATTTATCGACGTGATATTTTAATTTGAATATGTTAAGTTCTATATGTTTAATGTAACAATAGAGATTTTTTTCGAAATTAGTTTATTAGTGATTTATTAAAAATAATAAATAATTTTGACACATCTCTTCCTTCGTGGTGTATAATATGAATAGTTTTATTTTTTTTGTTTAATTTACGTCTTTTGTTATTTAAATTACCGAGATGGGAATTCGAGGTTGCCGTACTACTTTCACCAATATCTGATTCTCTAGTTGAATTACTTTGTTCTGATACATCTGAATTATAAAATTCTTCATCTTGTTCACGCATATATGGAGTGTCGTCAACTAAAAGGGCCCATTTTTACATTTTAAAAATTTTTTTTTTATTTTATTTTTCAATAAACATATATTCAAAGAAAAAAATTACTATAAGTCACGAGGGCACATTA